AAAGCTGCTTCCAAAACAGAAGAGTCTTCTGGACAAACCTAATATTTCCAAGGTCAAGATAAAGAAAGAAAATAAGGAAGGAAAGAAAGAAAGAATAAAAGAGAGAACGAAAGAAAGAATCAAAAGCAGGAAGATGCAAAATTTAGGCTACTTTCTTTTACTTTTTTTTAGGAGGATGAAAAAAAGTGTGATCATATGTCACTCGTTTGACTTGAAACGTGAAGTGGGAACCTTTTTTCGTGAAATGTGATTTAACAAATTAATAGCCGTGAAGTGTGATTTTTACTCTCAATATCCTTGGAACTAAAATATTGATCGGAAAAAAAAAGAGAAGTAAAACCACATCTACCCCCAAATCAAAGATTAGCTCGCGCTAAAACCAAAACGCGCCTTTTTTTCTTCCAGCATTGACATTGGGAAGGGGGAGGGGGGGAGGAGGGGAGGAGGGGAGGGGGAGGTGTGGTCCTAATTTTTCGTTTCAATTGACTAAGAGGTCTGAGAGGGTAGCTTGCAAGCAAGTTCTCCCGTCGTTGTCTTGTATTCCAAGAGCTGCCAGGAGGGCTTCCTTGAAACGAGAATCGAGTTTTTGTCGTAAATTGCAATTTTCTGCCGATTGATGAAGCGTGAAGTAACCTGAAGTAACTTGAAGTAACGTGAAGTACGTGAAACGTGATGTGAACGGAATCCACTTCTCAGTGTCCCTTTCTCAACCCTAAGTTCGGACAATACTAGGGGACAGTCAAGAGTTATAAAACCTCGGAGGCAACATGTTTAGTCTTGCCGCAATAAATTACGTTCCCGTGCTCTAAACAACCGTAGAGTGATTCTCATTAAGGCCCGGGGTCGCTCCTCTCACTCCCTCCGTTCCTCAGGCTATGGTAACTGCGAATCACGCAATTCTTTTTGTGACAAAAGAACGGATCGAGAAGGTTTTATTTCTAAAAAAAACGACCGTATCAGTTGAATATTTTGCTTTTTTTTTTTTGACCAATGAACACAAGAGACAACATAGCAATACTGTATTTTCCTTTAACAGCTTTTTTGCCCATTTTTGTCGGCTTTTTCCTCTTGTTAGAAAGTTGACAAAGTTGACTGGAAAGTAGTTTTTCATCCTGGCGGGGCAGAGTGGGAGGGGAGAGTCGGAGGGGAGAGGGGAAGACTTGGGCGTGATGTAAACCTCCTCTATCATCTTCTCATTGGAAGGGGTAAGGATATAAAAATATTTGCCAATATTCTGACACATAAGACTAGAAAATCCAGACCAAAAAATTATGATCAACTTGTGGTATGAGAGCAGTACTTCCTGAAGAAAAGTATTCTTGGTTCTAATATTTCAAGCTTCATTTTCATGCCAAGAAACACTTCTTTTAATGTTGAGGAAAGACATGCCAAGTGTATTGGATTACGACTGAGGTCACTTCTGTGGGCTGCAAGCCAGTCGAGGATCAATGCTCTGATTGCCATGTTAGGACATTTGCTTAAAGAGTATTCAATGCTATTGCATTATCAGTGCATGAACTCAGGGGAATTTGTCATTCTTGGTTTGCCAGAAATGAAATAATTTGTTGGTGTGTACAGTACTTGTGAGAGGCAGACATATTCTGAGTAAGAGTTTTAATATTATATTAAAATATTGAATCACTTGCACCAAAAATAGAAACTTAACAAAAATAAATACAATAGATAAGGACATAGTTCATTGGTCAAGAAAAAATAGAACCCAAAACAATCAGGGTGTTGATCTGACACAGCCAAATGTGATAAGAGTATTTTAAAGGATGTCATTTCATCCTACCAAGCAACATTCATGACTAGACAATCACACTGTTTGCTTAAATACAGGACAGACATCCTAAAATTGAATGTTTAGAGGTGAAATAAGCTTGAATTGCAACCGCAAGTCTGTTAACAAGTCTACAATTCATCCTTTAAAATTATGATTGAGCTCTTCAAATCGCTCAAGTGAAACTTGAATCTAGACCGCAAAGAGCTTAACTCAGTTAGTACAAAAGAACTCAGTGAAAAAACTTCTGTTCAGTGATAACACCATTTACAAGTCAAAACAGTCATAGATTTATCATTTCAATGGCTGATATATCCAAAAACAATTCATCGCAAACAGAGGCACAAGGTACACTTAATGCAATTTAATAAAGTTCTAGATAAGTTCAATTAGCTCTTCACTCAATGTACACGGCAATGTATCATCCCAAATAATTTTTAACACTACTAAGAAATACCTCACGTTTCATTTAGGCTCTCTCTTTAAAGAAAACTTCAACTGCTTTCTGTGAAGAGTCAGGCTTAGTAAAATTTCAGAATGATTTTGTTACCCAACAGCCGACATCACAAGAAATGTTATCACCCTATAATTTCCAAAGGGGACTGATTTCTTATTTCTACCAACAGTTGAAATACACTGTCAAGCATACCATTATCTTTATGTACAACCAAATTCTCATAACAGACACCAGTGCAAATCTTTAGTTTTCAGTAAGGAGATTAATATCATCATTTTAAGCTTGGCAATAGAAATGTCCAAAGCAGCCTTGTTTCATTACATAATCTGCAAATGTTCTCACTGCACAGGGGAACAATATAAGGAATTTGTAGGTACAAAAATTTATGAAAAGGTTGAAGAATATAAACAGACAAAACAAATTGTAGTCGATGTTACAATATAAAGAAATGGGTGCTAATGAGCAATAGGTTTTCAATGAATGTCTCCCAGATAATGGTTTCATACAAAATGCATGTTTTTAAAAAATAATGTTGAAAGGATAATTTCTTACATTTAGGAGAAAAATTTTCGACAAAATTTACAGAAGCAGTCTTACCATTGCTGATAGTTGATCAAAGTCTTAGTTTCTAAGCAACCTTTACTTTTGATAATTCTAACTATAGAATTCATCAATAGTTATTTTGTTTTGCTCAAACTAGCTTTTGTCAATCTTGAAAAGGTATGAAGGAAACTTGCGATGAAAATTAGTTCACACGAGGACAAAAATCACGAAAAAATAGATTGTGTTTTTGAAATATAAAAAATATAATGCAACGTTGCTTAACCGTGATTAGGTTTAGAATCTTCAAAAAGGAGAAATTTGGATGATTGAAACGATAGAGAAAACGTTTTACTAATAAAAACGAGCTAGCGAAATGAATTAGACCACAAGGCCAAAAGGATATATAATCTGTTTTGCTCTGAAGCCTTTGCCATTAAACGCTATTAGTTGCAGCGAAGAGTAAATTTATATTTACAAGACGACGCATATAAGCCAATACTTAGTGGTATTTCATGGAAAATACTGTGCGTGGCGTGTCTAATAAAGCTAAATTACTTCAGTTTCAGTTGAAGACGAAACAATGTTAGAAGTTGCGTCGCAAAGAGGTAGTTTAAACTCAGCCGTAGCGATGGGAACGCTTTCAAGCTTTGATTCGGCGACTGTTACTTTTGGAACATTAGGATCAGAAACAGGAGCGAGCGGTTTTTTGTTCGTTGACAGCTTCTTCCGCCTTCTTTTCAATTTTCGCACCTTGTTAGAGATAAACTTCGCCTTGGAAAGTAGTTCCTTTTGGACTGGTTTGGGTTTTAGCGTTGACTTCTGAGGGCTTCGAACAACTGGCCCTCCAAGAGTCCATTGCCACACGGGATGCGATGAATGTGGTTTGATGCCTTTCGGGCAAGCCATGGTGAAAGACGGACACAAACCTCCATCTGCTAGAGTCAACAGCGAGGTCGCTGGAAATAAATTTAAAAGTTTAAAATTGCAGTTTGCCTTTAAAGCAGGATTTGCCTTTGGTTTCTTTGGCTTGGGTTTGCTAACTTTGGCTGGTGTGACGTCGGTTGATCGAGTACAGTCTGAGGTGGCCGGAGCAAAAAATTTGGTCAAAGCTTTTCCGACAAGCCTCTCAAGAACCGTGTCTTTCTTCAACAGTTCTTCTTTAGCTTGTTTATCAATGTCAAGTTGTGTTTTTGGACTGGACCCTCTCTGAGGAAGGCCACCTAGTTTCTTTTCTTTTGAAATGTCAGTTAGCTTAATTTTGTCAGGACTGGCAACTTTTCCGTTAAGCGAAGTCTGCTCCTTGCGCGCTTTGAGTTTCAGGAGTTTGCCTTTAGCCTTTCGCTTGAACTTTTTCTTCTTTATGATTCCCGCACGGTCTTGTCTTTCTCCTAAGATTAAATCTTTGGTGATGAGTGGCTTACTTTCAATTTCCTCTTTCAAACTTAGCGGTTTCCTGCATTTTTTCGCCTTCTTCACTTGTTTTTGATGAAAAAGAGGTTTAGCTGGACCGCACACTCCTTCGAACAGAGGAGTTAAAACAGCCGGTCGCGCTTTCTTTCTGGGTTTGACTTTGCGTTGATGCAAACAGTTCGTTACCTCATTGACGGGACTTTTTTGTTCCACAAGCCACGAATCTTCAAAGCGTTTTAACAACAAAGCTGGAGGCGATAATGTCAAGCTTTTTCCAAGATTTCTTATTTCCTTTGTTTTGTTTTTCTTTGGTGTTTTTAGCTTCAGTGTACATGGCGAAGTATGTGCGTGTTCTTTAATAGCGTCTTCGTCCTTTCTTAACGACCCGCTCAACTCGCCAGCTGAAAAATCTGTCTTTGTCGGTGTACTTGCATTCGACAACGCCGTTGAGCCGAAACCACTGTCATTTGACGAGGAATCAGAAATCAGCGTATCAAAATCTTGCTTGTTCGAGTTACAACGGCTGGTAGGAAATTGACTAACTTCTTTCACTTTGTCGCTTTCTTCATGTCCATTTAATTCGCTCCTCTTGGGAATTTTCAATGGCGACTCAAACGGTTCCTTGATATCCAAATTGTTTGACGACCTTTTCTTCCCTCGAGCCACTTTCCCCATCTTTTTGTTCGGTTCCGAACTGTTGTCACGCTTCTTTACGCGTTTCTTGTTAGCGCCAAGATTCACCAAGCTCATCGTTTGAGTAAAATTCGTCACATGGTGTGAAGAAGACGGCGAATCGAGATGGCACCCTTCCTCGTCCTTGTACCTGTTAACGTTCCCAGAAGTTAGATCTCCGTCAATGGCTACGCGACTGGCATTGTCCGTTAATGTTTTATTTACTTCACAATCGGTCGAAGAGCGCGATTTCAGTTTCTTCGCTGTAGCGACTTTCGTCAACCTTAGCTTGGGTTTGAGTGGCGCAGAGGTTTTGTGTTTACAAAGTACTGCTAATTTGTTAGCGGTTGTATTGCTGTTCAGCTGGGTCGATGCTGTCTTCTCGTTGTCGTTAAGAACACTTTCCATACTGGTAACTTCACTAGCGGGTTCCTCTGCGTTCGCATCTCTTGAGATTGCTTGGTTGAATTCGCTTGGTTTATCGATATACATTGAACAGTATTTCTCAACTTCTGTCTTTGATAGCAGTGTACAGTTGGCTGACGAACCGTGAATTCCATTCACTGTCTTTAGCAGTTTGATTTCTTCTGGCTCACAGAAGTGCCTGCGAACTTTCATTTTTTCCATTCTAGTAAATAGCGTAGTTCGCGGTGTTGTCGGCAAAACAAGTGCCAATAGCTCGGCTAATGGTAGCATATATTCTCCGTCGATATTCAAATATGCCAGTTCAACACCACGAAATACGAGCCTTCCACACAGAGGGGCTTGTTTCTCCTCCACTGTCTCTTCTGGTGCAGGTTCCGCGGTCATCATGGTTCCACTATGTGAAAGATTGTGAAACGACAGCCCGAAAGCTGTTCAAAGCCAGAAGTTAGCCTAGAATCTGTTCGACAGATTACATGAAGATCTGCCGCTCTAAGGTCAAAACAAACGTGCCGATAACGTCAACTTACAGCCTGCACTCTTGCCTCAACACAGATCACTTCGATTCCGCCTCAACGTTGTCCAAAACGCGCCGATTTACCTTGTAATGTTGGGGTACGGTGACTCTTTTACTTCAGACTCACGTTAGCCCCATCTCAAAAGCACGCCTCTTTGCCGCTAAGC